CACACACCCACTGCTGCCCTGGCCAGCCCAGGCCCGGGGGGGGTCACCAGCCCCAATCACTCAGTCCAGGGCTTGGCTGGAGGGGCTCTCTGCCCTGCAGGCTGACCCATGGCCACCTCAGGGCAGAGAGTCAGAGACCACAGTCCAGCAAGACTGACCCCTGAAGCCCCCAGTGTTGGTACAGGCAAGCGAGGAGCCTGGAGTGCATCAGCCTCTGTGTGGGGTCAGGGTGGCCTCCCCAGAGTGGGGTCACCCACAGGACACTCAAAAGTAAGGAGCAGTTTAAAGGGTGTGTTAGTCTCCGAGGGCCGCCGTAACAAATGACCACAAACTGGGGGCTTGGAAACAACAGAAGTGTATTCTCTCACAGTCCAGGAGGCCAGAAGTCAGAAGTCAAGGTGGGGGTTGGGGGGCACTCCCTCCAGAGTCTCTAGGGGAGGGTCCTTCCTGCCTCCTCCGGCCTCTGGTGGGCTTGTGACCACACCACCCCAGTCTCTGCCCCCATCTTCACGTGGCTTCTCCCGGGTCTCCTCTCTCTGCCTCCCTCTTGTGAGGACACTGGTCACTGGATTTAGGGCCCCCCAGATAATCCAGGAGGATCCTTAATCCCATCTGCAAATACCCTTTTTCCAAGTAAGGTCGCATCTGCTGGCTCTGGGGCTTCAGACATGGACTCATTTGGGGGCCACCGTCCAGTCCTACAACAAGCAAGTTAAGGCACCCTAAGCAGAGACACCCTTGAGACCCACACAAGACTCTGGAGGGCAACAAGGCCACATGACTGGAAGGCAGACACCACATGAGAGGCTGTGGTGAAGGGAGATGAAACAGAGCAGGTAACGCTTAGGAAACACAAAATCCGCTATAGGGTCAGGTCCTGGGGTTCTGGCATGGATTTGGGTTCTTCAGAAGGCTCAGGGATGATCAGGTGGGGACTATGCACAGGATGCAGGATGCCCCTGCTCCAGCCACAGCCCCACCCCCCACCTCCACCGACGGCCCCCTGCCCAGCTCCCCATGGAGCCTGGCCTCCTGCCCCTCCCCATCTACCTGCTTCCCTCTGGGCCACTGGGTTGCTGTTGCCCAGAGACAGTTGCCAGGCCACCACTGTTGTTTCCCCTGGCAGAGGGCTCACACCACCTTGCTGGGCAGGTAGGAGGGACAGGCGGGCCACCAGCGCGAGTCCTGGATGGGTGTGAGGGCCATGGCCGCTGTCCTGTGCCCCCTCCCCACCTGGACACCAGGGCCCCTGTGGGTTCTGTCAGGACTCTGCCCAGGAGCAGAAGGGAGACAAAGGAGGGTCAGGAGAGGGGCACCCTGGCTGAGATGAGCCCCCTCTGCGGAGGGTCCACACCCCCAGCGCCACAGCGTGAGGGTCATAGACCCCCAGGCCAGGCCGAGAGGGGTGTGCCTTCTGGGGGTGGCTGCTCCTCAGGAAGAGCCCATTTGCCCAGGACGAGGTCTGTCTCCCCGGACCCACCGCCCGAAGGGCATCGTCCCAGACAGCCCGCCCCCTGCCAGGAGCCCCCAGCCCATCCAACAATGTCAGCACCTCCTTAGCATGAGGACAAAAGTGTGTTTTGGGAGAAGACGCATATGGCGGGACACTGACGTCTCCTCCTTTTCTTGGACATTTTCTTCAGGTTCACCAGGGTCTTCCTTTCATCATCCTGGGGTGCCGTTTCCTGCCGGTCTTTTTACCTGACCAGGTAAAAAGTTTATTTCAAAATTTACTCTGAAGTCGAGCTTTCCCCTGCTTCCGCGGCCCTTATGGAATGTGTGGTGGCCCTCCTTCATGGCCGGGGCTCCCAGCCGGCGACCCTTGTGGTAAACGCGTGCCGTGAACATCTTTGAGCATAAAGCTTTGTCTCTGTATTTAGAATTACGTCCTTCAGAGAAACTCTGAAAAGTGCAAGCACTAGAGCCGAAGGCTCGCAGAGCCCAGAGGCCTGACACCTATGCCACATTCCCACCCGTTACCCTCCTGCCAGCCACCGCCATTCACCACCTGCATGCATACCCAGGCTCCTTTTTTTTTTTTCTCTTAATCTTTGTTAACTTGAATGACAAGAAACGGTAACTCATGCCTTATTTAATTCTCTTTGTGAAAGTAATAAATACAGGTTTTCCCACTATCAGTAGGGCACTCCTATGAAGGCTTTCATAAGCTGAGATGGCATAAAGCAAAGAGCCAATTTCCATTAATTTATATGAAAAAAAAAACACCTTAGCATTCCCAGACCCCAAAATAACCTTCCTTAGGCTTTTCTGAGATGTTAGGATACATCTTGCTAACGGATGCTCAACCTAAATCGAGATAAAGCGCAGACGCCCACAGACACAGGTCAGGGCTCTGGGGCTGGATGCTGGGTGCGGAGGTGGTCCCCAGGAAGGGGCTGGGCAGCCCCACCCAGCTGCTTGCCGCCTCTGCAAGGGCTCACTGCAAAACAGCTAAACGCCATTTTCCCTTTTTGCCTTTTTTCATAAAAGCAAACATCCTCTTCAGACTTTTCAGTTAGCAAAAGCAGGTACCAATGCAGGTCTTTCTTCAAAGTAAAGCCGGGATGAAGTGGGTGCCCGCAGAGTTAGGAAAGCCGGCGGGAGGCGTCAGCTCCGGCTCTCGGTTCTGCGGTCCTGCGGAGCACCCCGCACGCCGCTGTGCTTACATACCCGTGCACTTCGGGCGCTGGAGGACGGGGGCCCCGTCTCTTGCACACCACCCCCGGCACCCACACACAGTCCACTCCCTCTGGAGCTGACCATCGCCCTGTTCTATACTTGTTTCTCTGCCGTTCCCTAGTCGCGCCCAAATGCCACCGCGCCCTCCTCAGCACGGCCACTATGAGCCCACACTGACATGTGTCACATGTGTCAGAAGCCCTCTGTCCTCCCAGCGGCCCCAGCCCAGCCCACGTTACAGGTGAAGAAAGGGAGGCACAGATGGATTAGCTGGACTGCCCAGGAACTTCCCCAGGTGCTCTGGATGCCCCCCTCGGCCCCTCTGCCAGTCCAGCGCCAGGTCCCCCGCAGATGCCAGCTTAACTCAATTTCCTTCCCACTCCCGTCTTTGCGTTCTTCCTGCGCCATCTCCTTGAACTTCCAACACTTCTACTGCATTTTTAATTTCCACCAGCCCTTTCGTATTCTGTGTCCCTTTGTTCTGACCGCAGCCAACCCTGCAGCCAGCCCTCTCTCTCCGAGCGGCCAGGCTCCTATTCACAGCCCAGCCCCTTCCAGGGCTTGGCTTCCTTGGATTCTGTGTCATTCCTCCCTCCCCTCCCCCACTCCCTGCACATGTGTGTGACTGTGTCCATGTCTCTGCGGATCTGTGTGGGTGGAGCTCTCACACCTGGGGGCAGGGGGCCCTCGGGGCCACTCAAGAGTCCTGAGGGATGGTACTGAACATTTGTATCTTGGTGGGGGGTCTATACCCCCAGCAGGACTCTGGGACTGGCTGCTGGGTTCTGGGAGCCTAGTGGGAGGGGACCGGGGTCTTCCAGCCCAGGCACGCACATGCATGCACTCTCCCTGTTTTCAGCAGGCTTGTATCCCCACAGCCATGCCGGGCCGGGCCCAGCCCCCACACTCAGCCTCCTCCAAGGAACCCTCCCATTCCGGGTGGGCCAGGGCTTGGGGCAAGGGACTCTGGGTGGTCCACACTCAGCCCACCCTCAGCCCAACCCCAGCTACCAGCCCAGCTCCCATAATCATGTTGACAGCTATTCAGAGTTTATTCCTTTTTTGTCCTAAGTGGGGACTAAAGCATTTCTTGGGTGACCGGCTGGTTTGCTTGCAAAGTGACTGTCCTCTCTGGAGAGTGATCTGCTGGCACCTGGTTTGTCCTTTCTCTGTCCTGCCAACTCCACAGTGTGCTGGCCTCTCCACCGCTCATCTTTTTTTAATCCTTTAGAAAGTCCTCACCTCCCAAGCAGCCCCCTAATTGGGAAGGACCCATCAAAGAATGGCTAAAATCCCTGAAATGTTCCCAAGTTGGCCACATGGGAAAGGGTGCTCAAAAGGAGACATGGTCCTCGGGGCAGGGCCCGGAGCCAGCGAGGATGCTGCCGGACACCTTACTGCCAAGCCCCATGTCGCAGTGCCACCCTCAACTCGGGGAGGCACCCGCTTGGGGCCAGGGTGCCCCTCCAGGTCCCAGAGACCTGACAGCGGCCCTCCTTACAGCCAGCACCATCGAGGCCAAGCATGGCAATGCCAGACAGACGGCCCCCGCAGGGAAAGCCTCGTCTGCGATAGACAGGATGCGCAGATGGCCTTGCCTGCACAGGGCACCAGGCCCTACGGTCACCAGAGACAGAAGCCAGCCGCAAGCAGAAGCCCAAGTCCAGGATCCCAGGCGGCACCCCTCCCCAGCGCTAGGACCATGGGCTGCCCAAAGATCCCATAGAGGGGTGGGGGTGGTGTCTTCCCAGAGGTGCCCCCGCCCTCGCGTTCCCGCGCCTGCAGCCCGAAGCCGCGCCCACTTCATCCACCGTCGGGGACCACACACTCGGACCCATGTCAGTGGGAAGAGAGGCAAGCGGTCCAGGATTGCAGGGGTCCGGTGGAGCCACACCTGGGTGCCAGGTGAATGCAGCCCTGGGACTGGCTCCACCCCCACCCCAGGCCAGTGCCTCCTTGGGGCAGGCGTCCCATCCCCGAGGAAGGCATTCCCATGGGCGGACCACACATGGCCATTCTCTAGGAGAGGGGCCAGGAGAAGGCCATGCACTGGGTGCACGGTTTGGGCCAGATGAGCAGGGCAGAGGACAGCAGAGCCGGGGTCTGAAGAGGCACAGAGAGGGGACACAGCGGCACTCCGCAGTCTGGGCGTGCCACCCTGACTGTGGGCACTGCCCCTGCTGGCCCCAGAACCCAGCCCCTGTCCAGGACAGGCCTGGATCCATCTCCCCTGCCTGACATGGGTCACCCATGACATCATGATAGACATTGTGACCCCTACTGTCCTGGGCACATCCCTGCACTTGTCTCCCCCCCCAGCTCCAGCCTCACGCCCTAGCCCTCCTCTGCACGGAGCCCCTGCCCTATAGGTAAGCAGGGACCTTGCCCACTCTGAGTCTGGCCCTAAATGGTGATGACTCTCCCCTCTTGCCCAAGACAGGTTCAGGCCCACGGGTCAGGACTCAGCCTGGGCTGAGATGGGCCCAGATGGCTGGGGGGACTGCCCAGGGGCTGCTAGAAATGGGCAGGATGGCCAGATTCAGGATGCACACCTCCCCCAGCCCCCACCTCAAACCCCACCCTGTTCACAGGCTGGGCCCATGAGAGACCAATGGGGAGCAACCAAGAGGAGCAGATCCTGCACTCGCTAAGCCAGCTGGGACCGGATGCAGGTGGGCTTGGGGCAGGGCCTGGGGACAGGAAAGCCTCCAGCCGGGCCAGAGCCTCTGACCCCCCACCCGCCCACAGACCTCCTGGACGACACTGGTGTTGCCAGGCCTCGGGCCGCTCTCCTGGAGAGGCACCTGCCGGAGGGGGAGAAACAGCCCCACAGCATCGGGCAGGGGCCCTACTTCTACGTCGGAGGCACCAATGGGGCCTCCATGTGAGTGGGGGGCCTCAGGCTCGGCCCTGCTGCCTGTGGTCTCTGCATCCCCTCCCCGCCCCGTGCCTACCCGCTCCCAGGTCTCCAAGGGCCCCAGGGTCACCACTGCCCCTGTGCCCCTGCAGAATCAGCTCCTACTGCAGGGGCAAGGGCTGGCAGCGCGTCCAAGACAGCCGGCGTGAGGACTGTAAGCTGAAGTGGTGTGAGCTCAAGTGCAGAGACAACTACTACCGCTTCCGGGAAGGTAGCAGGGGAGGGGCCACGGGCTCGGGCCTGCAGCCTGCAAGAGCCTCCTGGTCCAGAGCCAGGGGCCGAGTGGTGCCACTGCCCTCCATTCTGGAAGGCGGGGGCCAAGGCGGGAGGCTGCGGCGGCCTGGGCAGCCCAGGCCCCGCAGCACCACATGCCAGCCAGGACTCTGCCCCTGCCAGGTGAGCAGTTGTTGTACCAGATTCCCAACAACAAGCTCCTCACCACCAAGATCGGGCTGCTCAGTGCCCTGAGGGAGTACTCAAGGGTTGTGAACAAGATCCACAAGACAGCACCATGTGCCCAGGCCAAGTAAGCCTGCCCCCCCCCCCCCCCCCGCCCCCCCCACCCCCTCACCGCACACCTGTGTGTCCTTCAGAGCACAGGACACCGTCCACACACCCCACCCCCATCCCACGAACCCCCCACTGCCCTCTTCTAGGGCCCACTCCCACCCATCCATCGCGCCCATCACTGGAGCTGACCACCCTCCCTGGCATCCACCCACTCACCATTCTGTCTGTTCGCCTCCATCCATGCATCCCCAAACACCTGCCAACCAACCCATCCGCCTACCCCCACGGACCACCCAGTGATCTATGCATACATCCACTGTGGTCCACCGCCCACACCCATTCCCCAGACCCTCCCACACCGCTCCGCTTCTGCTCCCCTTGCCCCACCCACCGCACAGCTGTGCCTGAGCCACTCCGCGTATTCTTCCAACTATCTACTCATCTGCCTGTCCAGCCAACCAGTGGTCACCATCTGTCTCCCCCCACCCACCCCCATCCACCCCCAACCAGGCAGGCAGCACACCCACTCACCTGGCCATCCATGACATCACCTTTACATCTACACGTCCAGCCGTCCACCTCCACCCTACACATTTCAATAACTCTAACCCACTCCCTCCAAGCATCTATCTAACCACTGGACCACCTGCCCACCCACCTACTTCCATCCAAAATCCATTTATCCAACCACCCACCTATCCAAACCCCCCCTATTCACTTCTCCAAACAGCCATCCATCCATTCTCCACCCACTACTGGGTGGCCACTCAGGCCAGGCCCTCCCTCTGGGGTACAGATCTAGAAAGGACACAGCATCTGCTCTTGAGGAGCTCACATGGACCAGCCCAGGATGCCTCAGGCCACAGAGGTAGATGCATTCAGCCCAGCTGGAAAGATCCATTCTGCCCTAAATTGAAGGATGGCCTGGTGGTCGATGAAAAGGGGTTAAAGGGCACCCCCAGGCCAGGGGAAGAGGTTTGGACTAGGCCGGGGTGTTCAGGGACCCATGCAGACCACTCACTGCATGCTGGACGCTGTCCTGGCCTGGGGACACAGCTTGAACTGCCCACTCACAGTGCCTGAGCCGGTGTGGGTTGGAGTGCAGTGGTGAGGTGGGAGAGGGGCCAGGGTGTGGGTGAGGCAGCCTGCAGCCTGTAGAGAAGCCAGGTGAGCAAGGACCCGGAAAAGAGTGCTCCTGGCAAGGGAACAGAACGTGCAGAACAGCAGCTGGGGCTGGGGGACAGAGGCAACCAGCTTTCCGGTGGACACTGTCCTCCAGCTGCCCCCAGGTCAGTCCCCTAGAAAGCCTGGCTGGCCTAGCCTGGGGGGAGGGGACAGCCCTCCCTGTGCCCTCTCCACCTCCCTCCTCCCCCAGGGTCCTGAAAATGGAAGAATTTTTCCCAGAGACCTACCGTCTGGATATCAGGGACGAGAGAGAGGCTTTCTTCACTCTCTTCGATGGTGAGAGGCCACTGGACGTGGTCAGCCCGGGGCGTGGCCGGGCCATGACTGGGCGTGGTCAGCCCGGGGCGTGGCCGGGCCATGACTGGGCGTGGTCAGAGCGGGGCGGGACCAGCCAAGAAGCTCAGGTGGCTCTTCCTACAGAAAATCAGATATGGATCTGCAAGCCCACTGCCTCCAACCAGGGCAAAGGCATCTTTCTGCTGAGGAACCAGGAGGAAGTCGCCGCCCTACAAGTCAAGACCCAGAGCATCGAGGACGATCCCATCTACCGCAAGATGCCGTTCAGGGCGCCTCAGGCGCGGGTCGTGCAGAGGTGTTGGGCATGGGCACGGGGCGTCGTTCATGGTGGGGCTGACCATGGGCCCCGTGGTTCCCGGGAGAGCTGGTAGGGGTCACAGGGCCCATAGAGGAGTGCTTGGTCATGGAAAGCTGTGGTGCCCTCAGCTGGGCCCCTGTGTACCCGGCAGAGGTGGGGGTGTCACAACTTGTCAGGGTTGCAGAGGAGGTGTCCCCCCCCACACACACGCACACAGGCTCCTGGACATGAGGTAGGGACGGGGAAGCCTTCGTCAGCTTGTTACCCAGCCTGGGCCCTGCCCCTCTGTCCTGTCCTGCAGGAAGGCCAGCCTCTCCGCCAGCCCCAGCCTTCAGGCCTGAAGCCAGAGCTAACCACCTCTCCCTTGCTCCCTCTGCCTCTGGACAGGGTCCAGACCCTCAAGCTCCCACGGGGAGGTGGAGGAGAGCAATCTGGTCTCCAATAGGTCCCTCTGACCTCCCCATCTGCCAGTGTGACTTCTGCCACAGCTGCTGTCTGCGGCCCCTCCCCTCCCTTTGGCCCTCTGGGTCTTTAGACCTACAGCTCCTTCCACCTGGGATGTCTCCTCCTGGCCATCCACCCTAAGGCCCAGTGTCAGCCCTCCCTCCTCCAGGAAGTCTTCCCTGCCCACAGGGGCCCAATCTGCTCCCACCCTCAGGGATCCTAGTGAAAACTGCCCCTTGGGGGGGCACCCCAGACATGTGCAGTGGGCTGAGATTTAGGGGCCAGGCCCTCCTTCCCAATTCCCTGAACTGTTCAGGCTCAGAAATGGCCTTTCAGAAGAGAGAGCCCACAGATCCCTGGGACAAGTGGTGCTGAGGACCTGGTCTGGGCCCAGGTGGGGGCCAGGGGACACAGACTTGCTGGCCACGTGCTCAGCCCCCATGTGCCCCCAGGTACATCCAGAACCCCCTGCTACTGGATGGGAAGAAGTTTGATGTGCGCTCCTACCTGCTCGTTGCCTGTGCCGTGCCGTACATGGTCTTCTTTGGCCATGGCTATGCCCGTCTCACCCTAACCCTTTATGACCCCCATTCCAGCGACCTCAGCGGCCACCTGACCAACCAGGTAAGGGCACCCCACAGATGAGGGCCTCTCTGCAGCCTTGGGACAAGATCATTGCTTGGAACACAGACGGGAGTTAAGCTACAAACTGAAGCTCAGGCCCGGAGGTGGCCCACTCTCTTTGATGGTGAGAGGCCACGGAGAGGTGGCCCAGGCCCAGAGGTGGCCCACTCTCTTTGATGTGAGAGGCCACTGGACGCCAGGCCCGCTCTGGGGAGACGGGTTCAGGGACAGACCAAGGACGGGGCACGATTACGGCGGGGCCGGGCCCTGCGAGGTCAAGGGGGGCCTGGTCATGGAGGGGACCGGTGGAGCCCGGGGGGCGATGGATGGAGGGTCGATGCTGGGCCTTTTGGAGGCGGAGCCTGGCAGGGGGCGAGACCAGGGCCAGGTGGTTAAGTAGGAAATGAGCGGGGAGGGGTCTGTGAGGACCTCAGTGGAGAGACCCTGTGCGCAGAGGTCTCTGAAAGGGTCTTAATGAGAAGGATCTCTGTGGGGGCTGGCCTTCCATGAGGATCTGTGGGACACTTGATGGTTGAGAGGGTCTCAGCAGACAGGGTCACTGCAGGGCGTCCTGGGATGAGCAGGGCCTCTGCGGACTTGCTGGGGTAGCGGCGGCGGGGGGAGAGGGGGCTCTCTGTGGGGGCCCTCAGCAGGGGCAGAGCCTCTGGGTGTTCTGGAGTGGTGGTCTCCAGGTGCCGCACTGCCCCCCAGTTCATGCAGAAGAAGAGCCCCCTGTACGTGCTGCTCAAGGAGGAAACAGTGTGGAGCATGGACCGCCTCAACCGCCACATCAACAACAAATTTAGGAAGACCAAGGGGCTCCCCAGAGACTGGGTCTTCACCGCCTTCACGGTCCGTGTGCCCCTCCCTAACACCAGCCTGTGGGGAGGGGGCTAAGGGTCAAGACCCTTTATGGTGGGGGGCGGGGGGTGGGTGCTGGGCACGAGGTGCTCCCCCATTCCTGTACTAAAGTGTGTGTCAAGTGTGTGTGCATGTGAGCGGTGAGTGTGGCAGCTGGCCACTCGGGGGGGTCTCCAGTTACCCCTCCCTCCCTCCCTCCCTCCCTCCCCCCTCCCCTCCC